GTGGCCTCTCCCGTTGCGGAGCACAGGCTCCGGACGCGCAGGCTCAGCGGCCATGGCTCACGGGCCCAGCCGCTCCGCGGCATGTGGGATCTTCCCGGACCGGGGCACGAACCCGCGTCCCCTGCATCGGCAGGCGGACTCTCAACCACTGCACCACCAGGGAAGCCCTGCTTTTCCACTTTTTGATGAAGCTTGGCTTCTTCACCTATGGTTTTGAGACTTCCCAGTGGCCATGAAGACTTTGTTGGGAGGTGCTTCTCTTTCCAGCAGCCAGAAGCAGCCTCCCTGCCTCTTCCTGTTTCAGGGCCTCCCTCTGGGGCTGCCCACTTGATTTCTGTGTCCCGTCTGAGCGACGCCTCTGGCCTCGAAGACCAGCCGTGACCCACCTGCTCTTGGCCCAGTGACCGACGAAGGCTCCCCTGTCTCTGTCAGACCCACCCACATCTGGGTGAACCCCTGGGTTCTGTGGATGGGATGGCCTTCTGAGAGCCTGCCATTCACTTGGATCTCAAAGTGCGGTGTCCACCACAGATACGTTTTCTGTCCTGGCAAAAGGAAGGTATCTTCCTTGCTCAGCATGAGTTTTCAGCTTTCCAGGGCTCTTTCTGGTGCAGAAATTTAGATCTTGGTTGTTTCTTCTTCTTGTGACTCAGTCTTACTGTATCTATCTTCTGCACACTGTGGCATCTTGTTGTAACTTCCCGTTTATCCTACAGCGACACGTGAGAATGCATTTTTTGAGGAGTTAAAACCCGGCAGGTGTTGTCAGAAGCTTGAGTGTTTGCTCTTTAGTAACCGTGTCCGGTGGGATGCGTAAATGAAATTATTGGAAGTCCTGAAGAGTTTTTTTTTTCCTGGATCCTTGGTTTTAGCTTCCTCACCTTATTTGGATCAAATTAAAGAAAGAGCAGTAGGGATAGTCCCATGATTTATCTCAGGGAGAAGGAGGTCTGGTGCCAATACCACCATGTTTTATTTTTATTTTTTAAGCACTTAAGACTCTTTGCACTTACCTCGGGAGTGTATCGATTAACCTGCTAGCTCTCCACACCCCTCCCCACAAGAATGTAAGCTCCCTGAGAGCAGAGACCTCGCCTGTCTTGTTCACTTCTGCAAGCCTGGTGCTAGAACAACGTCTGGCTCATAGAGAGCAGCTGAATAAATGTTTGTGCTGCATAAATAAAATCCATCAGTTCTCCTTTGAAGGACTTTTAAGTCCCTTTGGGATGGGCAGTAAGGCCACTGAAACCACGGCACCAAGCTCAGTGTCTCCGATGGATTTGGAGGCGAGACGGGGTAGGGTTATGCAAAGAGATGTTGAATTTGCAGAAGGTCTGGGTTTGAATCTTCACTCTGCCACTGACTTATTTGGGAGACCTCTCTGAGCCTCAATTTCTTTATCTATACACGAGAGATAATAATTGCTCCCCAACACACACACATACTTTGCAATACTTGGGTGGAGAATGTATGAAAAATGCATTTTAAACCGTAAAGTCTGCAAATGAGGGGGAATTACAAAACCATGGCCTTTCTCTTCCTTATTTTTTGCTGCACATGAAGCCAGGTGCCCCTGCCTGCCTCCACCTCTGTTAGAATTGGGATATCCTGTGGCTGCCCTCTTGAGATGCTTTATCTGTTAAAGTGAACTAAGGAGCAGATGCTTTCTAGGAGTTCCATCTGCCCCAATTCCCTAATGACCTTGGTGGGGGTGGGGTATACTGGCACCTAGGGAAGCACACTTCCGGCTCAGGCCTGGCCTCGGCCCCTGTGCCACTGGTGAGCACGGCAATTCACCAAGCATCTGTGAACTCCAGGAGCTACAGCATCAAGGGCTGCTTGACAGTTTTTCTCTCTTTCCAGGAGGCTGCTGAAGAGTGAACTTGGATCGTTCATTACAGACTATTTTCAGGTAAGCTGTGTGGGTCTGAGCTTGTGTTATATTGTGCACGTGGGTACATGTACCTAAAGGAGTGACCGATACTGTACACCTGGACATGGCTTCAACATCCAAAATTATGTATCCCGAGTTCCTACTACATGCTGCGCATTGCAGTGCAGCCCTACTGCGTGCTGGGCACTGCAGTGCAGTGACAGTGGAGGCGTACAGGGCAAGCGTGGTCCCTGCTCTTATGGAGACTATAGCCTCAGACAGCGGTTCTCAGGCTTTTTGGTCTCAAGGACCCCGTTACGCTCTTAAAAATGATCATTTATTTGGGTTATCTCTATGTATTTTCACCATATTAGAAATTAAGCCTGAGAAAATTTACTGTGTGCCTTAATTCATTCAAATAATAAACCTACTACATGTTAGCATAAACGGCATTTTTATGAAAAATAACTTTCTGAAAATAAAAGGATAGGAGAGTGGTATTGTTTTATATGTCTGCAAATCTCTACCTGCAGACTGGATCCTCATATCTGCTTCATAGTCAGTCTATTGTGATATTGCCCATCCGGAAAATATTGCACCTAGTCTCTGGAAAATTCGACAGTACACTCAACGGAGGATGCAAGGCAAATAACAGCTTAGTGTTGTTAAGGAAATCGTTTTGACCATGTGGAAAAGGCCTGGGTGATCCCTCAGGAGACCCCAAACCACACTTGGAGAACTACTTTCCTAATGCCATTCCCTCCCACTCCGTGTATGGTACCTAATTGAGTGTAATGCTATGTCCCTTTAGCCAAGTTCTTTCTTGTCACTAAGCCTCTCGGTCTGTTCTGTTAAAGATAGAATTGAATCAGATAAGCTAACATCCCTCCTGCCTAGACACTGTTGTTAGGCAGCTAATGAGTTCAAGATTCCAGGTGCAGTCAGGATGGTTTCTAATCCACTGACGCGAGATGCCTTCCTGACTCCATCCAAAGACACGTGGTGGGAAGTCCCCACACAGATTTTTTTCAATAGTCAATACTATAGTACTGCAGGATCCATGGTTGGTTGAATCTGTGGATACAAAAAAACCTCAGATACGGAGGGTCAACTATAAATTATATGCAGATTCTCGACTACACGGAGGGTTGGTGCCCCTAACCCCTCGCGTTGTTCAAGGGTCAACTGTATACATATTTGTTATTCTAAAGTGTAATCCATCCCTTTTAATGGGAAGGTGACATAAAAATCCATAATAAATTGGTTTCAGGTTGGTGATATTATTCTGTATCCCAGGTGAGCGTACTTTTAAGACAGTTTAAAGAGTTTTTAGCTTTTAAAAACAACACAGGCATCCTTCCATTTTCCTTCCATAAATCAGGAAGCTTAAACTTTTATGTGCACTTTAAAAGAATGACAGATGTCAGTTGTCTCTCTCTCACATGCACACACACACCCACACACACCAGAAAATGACCACTTGGCCACTCTATATCTGGACAAAGCAAGACCCAGCAGAAGCCTGGAATTCAATCAGGGCAAATGTCTCAGCTGCTTGAAAGAAAACCCCTGTCCAGGGAGAGACAAACAAAGATTAAAAAAGAGATAATTAGTCACAAATGTGAATCATTTCAGTTGCCCTCGACTCAAAGGTCAGTCTTGTCCTCACTCTCTTCTCTTGCTGTCTCTAGTGATTGAGTTTTAAATCCAACTACAGAGAAGTGGTTTTTCAATCCCTCCTGGTGAAACCTGCCAGCCCAGCTGCCTTCCTCATTGACATTTAAAATAGACAGGGTTCTGTGTGGTTTCAGTCAAGTTTGAAATGTCAGTCATGTCTTGGCTTTGGGGGCTACCCCTCGGATGGGTGGGGAAGGGCATTTGGGTGGGGATTTATTTATCTGGAAAGCCCTGAGGTTTTGGGGGCAGTAAGTGCTGCTTACAAAGTATGCCAGACACTTAACAGCTGGTAACCACATGTCATTTTTTATCGAGTGCTTAATCAGAGAAACTGCTTGGTGAATATCGAGTCTCTTTCTGGGGGTGTGGGGTATGAACTGGTTTTCACAGTTTTGAATCTGGGTTTTTCCTTAGTTTAAGGTGCTAGACTGGAGAAAAGCCTATCCTAGACACTGCTTATTAAAATGTAGGTTTTAAGTCTCATGTAGGCACAGAGCCTTTTTAAAAATGTGTTTGGTTCTCCAGTCCCTAGAAATTACCTAGCACATAGTAGATGCTCAATAAACTTTATTGGGAGAGAGGGAGGGGTTGCCCACCACAGATACATGAGAGATTTTAGGAGTTGCACACAATGGTATTAAATAACATTCGCCTTTGTGGTAAGTGTTTCCTTTCCTTATTTTCCTTTAGCACTTCTGATCGTGCCAGGGAGAGTCTTCGTTTGTGCCATTGTGTCTGTTACACTTCTGCAAGACTTGGTGATCTCTCTTGTTTAAGGAAGAGAGAGCAGGTTTCAAAATTAGTGTCTTCAGCTAGAAGCAATGTCTAATTAGGATTACATAACATCATTTTGTTGAGATTGAGTTGATCCTTGAGTTACATTCTATTTATGGTAAATGGTGTTGCTGTGGTTTCTTTTATAAACATATTTATGTTTTTAAAAAAGTGGATTGATTGAAGAAAAATAGTATACAAAGAATAATAGTGTATGTGGCCCTGGCTGTGACCAAGTGGTGAAGGTGGTTCAAGAGAGACTCAGGTGTGGAAAGTCCTTCGCTAGGCACCCTTGAAAATGGGCTGGTTTCAAAGCCACACCAAGAAGAGGTTTTCAGATGAAGAGGGAAATCCAGGAGGCAAGGCTGATAGAGGCGACCTCAGCCTTCACACTCAACTATCGGATGTAGTTTCAAGAGGGAAAGTCAGAATGGGCTCCAGAAAGAACATTCCTCCAGCAAGGAGGAGAGGGGAAGGTCTGGGGACAAGTGAGGAGCAGAACCAGGGGGGTGGACAGGTAAGACCCAAATGCCATGGACGTGGCTGTTGGGGAAGGTGACGAGTGGGTTCCTCCGTGTGGAGGATGAGATGGCCACCCCACCCCCCACCCCGCCTGGACATCTGGACTCAGCAATGAGGTCTGTCTCCTGGGACCCAGACCCCACACCCCAGAGACTGCTACCTGTAAAAGCCATCACCGTGGCTCCGCTTTTGAAAGTGAACATTCTCATTTTGCAGCTTTGAAGAAAGACTCACAGAAAGATTGTCTTCCGTGAAGAATAATAAAAATGACCCGGGGTGAGGGCAGGGGCAGAGCAGGCGGAAAGATGGTGCTTATCTTGTGTCTGCACACAGAGAAGACAGGCTGTTTGATTGACAAAAGCACAGATAGATTTCCATATGACAGAGGCCAGAAAAATCTTTGACATTTCCAGTATTGATTTTCCTTTTTCCTCCGTCTGTTTTGAATTGCACCCAGAAGGAAAATTGGGGTTTCCGACAGGAACTCTATATCCTAGAGACAGCTCTGCGGGGTAATTGGTTCCTTTTATCTTTGGAAATGGTTGACAGGAAATGCTCTGCATTTTTCTCTTACCTGATTAGGTGCCTTGGTGGTCCGGGGCCTGGGGATGCGAGAGGTGGCAGATCATACTTTCTGTGCTTCTGCATCTGCTGGTTGTGTTGTGTCTGTCGAATGCTTTCCCCCAAGCCCAGAAAGTTAAATTATTTTTGGTGGAACTAGAGTTTCGCTTGATACAGAGACTCAGTTTGTAGTCAGTGGCTTTGAATAAGATAGAACCTAAGAAAAGGAGAAATTTGGCCACCATACTTGTCAGTAGGGCACGGATGATGTAAATGTTTGATGTAAAGGTTTCCATCTACTGCTCGTATCTGTGACAGTCACAAGAGGCCACTTTCCCCTTAGCTCATCATTATCAGAGAAGATTCATTAAGGGCGTGTGGCATGTGGCAGGGAGCTGAAGGAGAGACCCACAGAAGCATCCTGGTCACCATGGAGTTTGAAACTGAAGTGCAGGGAGGTAGATGCATCCGTATAGGGGACACACGGCATCGTGTTAACTGAAACCCCGAGTGGATGGTAAAGGCTTAAAAACAGGCCCAGTATAATCTTTACTATTCTTTAAGATTATCAATCTTTATTATTAATAATAATCTTATTATTTAAGATTAATAATAATCTTAAAGATTATTTTAATAATCTTTAAGACTATTAAATAATAATCTTCTTTAATCTACCTGGGAAGGCTTCTAAAACAAACGGGATTCCCAAAAGGGGAAAAGAGATAATTAGGTGGGCAGAAGGTAGTAAGGCACAATTCCCATATACTCTGCTTTGAAGGTAAAATTGGGGCCAGTATACAGAGGGACTTTGAACAAGAGGAGCTGGGCTCCAGTGAGAGGACAAGCAAGAGGGGAGAGGATGATGTCTCTAGGTGAGAAGGTCGTTAGAAGTTGCATCTTGCATTTGGCCAGTACTTGGAAGAGAGGCCTTGGGGAGTCTGTGAACGTTGGGGTGGCTTAAAGCTCCCCTTGGCTGTTGAGAGGGGAGAGAAAAGGTGCTAGTCTGGGGGCTGCCAGGAGGACCCCTGGATGCTTCAGGCTGCCCTCCTCGGCAATTACTTGAATTTTATGCAATTATTTGGATATTTTTATTGGACTTTCCTGCAATTTTATGAAGAAAAATGGAAAAATGAGTCTTGAAATTGATAACCACTGATCTTAATATAATTGAGAGAAGGATGGAGATCAATGGGTATATGCGGAAATGGCAACTCTTTGGCCTCATTGTACTGAGGTTATTACACATTCCGTTGTTAAGGAGGGAACATGTAGGTACAAAATGCTGCAAATATATCACCTGAAGACTAGCTCTGAAAATGAGGTGTAGTTAGGGATTTTATCATCCTTTTTGGCTCTGTGGGAACAGAACTCCCCCTGATATCAGGTAAGTGTCTGGGTCCACATGGGTATGTGTTTTCAGGAACCCATAATGGATGAAATTGGGTGACTTCCAAGTAGACTAGGCCGGAAATGGCAGGAGACAGGTTTAGGGAACCATTGGGGGA